GATGTAAAAAGAAGATATAAAGAAGAAAAGAGAGAAGCTAAACAAGAAGCAAAAGAGGCCAAACAAGAAGCCAAAGAAGAACGAAAAGAAGAAAAAAGAAACAATAAAATCGAGAAAAAGAATGATAAAATTGAAAGAAAAATCGAAAGAATTGAAGATAAAATCGACGGATTAAAAGGAAGAGATCCTGAAGTTCGTGAGCATCATAGACATCACCATACTCATCATGAGCATCATACTCATCGTGAGGAGAGGAGAGTAGAACCAACGCCAGCACAGACAACCCAACCAGTAAAACATTACTATGCCTATAGACAAATCCAACCCGTTTCACATGAAGCTCAACCTGTTCAATACTTTACAGTTTCAGAAACAACTACAACTACAACTGAACAACCAGATCAAATACCTGTTAATCATACACCTATATTAAGTGTTACTTCAACATCAGCTGTTTTTACGTCTAATGATGATAATGATACAGATTTTCAGTATGAAGAGGATATGCCAGAAAAAATCGTAGTTCCTTTGAATTTTGCTTCAAATGACGATGCTTCTCCAGCATTCGAGCCTCAAAATGAACCAGGAAGAGTCGCAGAATCAGAACCAGAACCAGGATCACCAGTTCCAGAAAGTGAACCAAAGTATTAAAATAGCATATTAAAATTTAAAAATAGATTTAATAAATTATAGAAAATTTTTATAATTTTTTGATATCAATTATTATTTGATTAAAAAAAATTATACATTTCTAAAAGAAACTCTAATATTTGGCTTCATTAAAACTTATTTTCATATAAAAATATTCATTGCACATATGATGGTGTAGAAACGTATTAGATAATTGAGAACTAACGTATATAAACTTTTTTATTTCACAATTTCTTCTTAATTTTTTTTTTCAAATCAAAATTACAAATTCTTTATATTTTATTAATAAATGGCTGAAGATTTGTTCAATTATCCCGGAATTCAACCTCCATTAAGTTCTTCCACTTCTCCGCGTCCGAAAACATCAAGAGAAAAGAAACGAAGACGACGACATCATCATTCTACTCACGAAAAACAACAAACTTCAAACGAAAAAGAAGAACAGCAAAAGCAAGAAGAAGAAGAGCAACAACAACCTGAACGGCCGCCTCTTCCATCACTAAATAAAGATAAAAATTCTAGGTCATCACGCGAATTAAGTCAAAGCAATTATAATTCAAAATCAGATATAAGCACAGTAAATAATTCCTCATCATCAAAAAAAAATTCGAGACCAATTGAAGATGATAATCAGTTTGAAGAAGAAGAAATCGACGAAGTTTTTTATTGGACTCAGGAAGGAATTAAAGACCCTTCTGTATTAGAAAAATGCAATCCTGATTTACTCCCAAGCGTTATTATTTGTTTGAAAGATACCAGAGATCAATGCCTAGTCAATGGGGAAACAGACGATAGCTGCATTGCGGATGTAGCTCTTACAGAAGCTCGGAAAATACACAAAAGAAATCTCGTTCATATTGCAACAAGATCAATGAGAGAGGATCTAGAAGCAAGACTTCAAGAAGCTGAGGAAGCCCTTCGTGAACTTGAAGAAACATGTGAATATCAAGAAGATCGTATGAACAAAGAGATGGCAAAAGAAACCGCAAATTTATTAGAGAAACATAAAAAAGAAACAGAACGACTTATAGCAACATGGACTTCAACCCCACCCCCACCAAAACCCGGAGAGCCCGAATTTGAACCTGGCAAAACATATTCAACATCACGACCAACAACATCGAGAAAGAAAAATAGAACAACTAGCAATTTTAACGATACTGTTGATAAAAGTCAAACTCAAGATGATGATCAATTTGAAGAAGAAGAGGATTACCAGACAACTAACGAAGATACTGAAAGAAAATTTAGAGAATACAATAAATTTTCTTCTCAACTTAGATATCTTCAAGATCATGCTGATAGACTTCTTAAAGCTAAAAGATATCAAGAATCAAAAGCAGTTGAAAAACAAGCGAGAGAACTCGAAAGAATTGAAGTTGAAAGAAATCATTTTCGGATGGAGCGCGATTATAACGCTGCTTTAGAAGCTCTTCAAGTAAAACAAGCAGCTGAAATTGCGAAACAGGAAAAATCCCAAGACGATCGACGTAAAGAATATTATCATGCTCGCGATTTTGATATGACAATTGCCAAAAGGAGAATCGAGAAACTTCAAAAAGAAATTGCAGATACGGAAGATCCAGACAAAGTATGGGCTCTTCATCATCGACATGATTTTGAAATGCCAAGACCTGTTAACCAACAACCAGGACAGACACAAACACAAGACGGTACATACTCATCTCGAGGTGTCTTTGAAACCACAGCATCATCAACCACAGGGAAGGCGTCTCCGTTTCAAGAAAGATTTAATAAATTGAATTTGCCCCCTCTTAAGTCTGGAAGAAGCTCAAGAAGGATCATTGAAAGAACAGAAAGATCCTTTAAATTTAATAAGGGCTATGTTTTTACTTGAAATATATATTATTTTAATATTGTTAAAAAAAATTATCGTTCGAAACTTTTCTATTTCTATTATTATTTAAATTTCTTCATAAAAAAACAAAAATTAATTTGAAGAAAGTCAGCAAACTCAAGGTAATTTTATTTCATTTCAAAAATCAATTTTTTTTCAATTTGAAACGAAGTGAATTTAACTTCATATTCTACGAGATGCTCCTTGGAAAGAACCAAACTGATTTAAAAAACGAAGAATATTTAAAAGACTTAGGCGATTCAATAATTGATGCAATACTTGATGATGATCCTTCTTCAAAATATTCAGATTTTACCAATAATCCGAATTTAATATTTAAAAGCCATTATAAACTACCAACAATTTTACGCAACTCACCGCCAATTCTTTGTGTTTGTTGTTTGTTTGGATCGATTAACTGTTTTCGCACATTAATTGATCTAGGTGCAGATCCTTTTGCGCAGGACGATTTAAAATACACTACAGCACATTTTGTTGCATTTAGCGGCAATCTTGATATAGCACGAGACTTATACAAGCTTGGTGTAAATTTTCAATCTCCAGCGCCAAAACTTTTTCAATACATGCCATTTCTACCAAATAATGATGGGTTTTACCCACAACATATTGCAGCAATGAATGGCCAACAAGAATTAATTAATTGGCTCTGGCTGAAAGGGAACAAAATTGACAAAAGTTTACTTATTTACTCATCAGCTTACGGAAACCTAGAAACAATAAAATTTTTATTTGATACGCTGCATTTTTTTACAGGAGATGATCAAGATTCAGCTGAAAATGAAGATATAATAAAAAGTTCCTTGAATTCAGCAGCTGTTAACGGACAGGACAAAGTTCTCGCTTATTTATTAGACGCTTTTCATAACGTAAGCATGGTAGAGCCGCTAATTTACTCTGCAAAGAATGGATCTTTAAATTGCGTCAAGCTTTGCATGCAGAGACAGAAAGAAGAGGATGACATTGAGGCTTGGGATGCATTTTTATACGCCTGTTCATCAGGCTACTTGGATATTGTCTATTATTTCATCAGATCAGACGTCCGCCCCACAAACTTTACAGCAAAAACAATAAACATGCCGACCCCACTCGAATGTGCAGTTAACAACGATCATTACGACGTTGCCGAAGCCCTGATCAGCAGCGGATACGTCAAAATAGAGAAAGACGATCAAAAACAAGTCAATTCAAACACCGACGATCAAAATGAATTGAATTCTGATGATTCATCTTTTCCTGTTATCCATTACTTTTTTGATGAGAAGCAGAACCTCCTTTTAGATCAAGCCACATTGAACAACAACATGAAAATGATCCAGCTGATTGTTTCCACGTTCAACATTGACGTTAAAAGCTTGTGTAACACAGCCAACATTGCGATTAACAACAGGAACCTTGAGATCACTGACTATTATGTGAGCCAAGGGGTACCCCTACGTGATCTTGCCATCTACAACTTTTTCTTAATGGACAAGAAGTCACCAGCAACACTTGCGAAGGAGCGACCCTTTGTTGAGTACTTCATTTCAAAGGGCGCCCTTGAGATCGAAGAGCTTCCGATGCATCTGGTCTATGCGGGCGATGTTAACGGGCTCATCAACATATTGAATCGAGGAGCTGAGCTCAATGAAAGTTATCTCAACAAGAATGTCAACCAAATCATCAAAGAAATCTTGATTGGCGAGAAATATGGAATGCTTTACTATCTCCTCGACAACTACAACCTCAAAGTCACCGACAAGATGCTTCTTGGTGTAGAGATATCTGACAACAAGATATATTACGATGTATTGAAAAAGTTCATCGATAAAGGGATCTCTCTTTCTACCCCAAAAAACGGTTGCTCCCTTCTCTACTACGCAATCATCAACTACAATATAAAGGCAATCGAACTGCTGAAAGAAAACGGAGCAGATTACACACACGTGGCAGTACCCATTTCGGCTTTCGAGTCACCAGCACTTTTCAACGTGCTGAAAGACATAATTGACAGCGAGAACGACTTCTCTAAATGCATTCCGAAATGCGAAGGAAAAGACGATTTCATCGTGCAAGTCTTCTACAATTTTCATAACTCAAGACTGGTGAAGTTTTTGATTAGCATCAATTTCATTGAAGACATTAATCAGAAGTTCGACGATGACGGAAGCACATTGCTCGATTTCGCCCTGTATAACGAGGATACTGACATGATAAACTACTTGCTGCTAAATGGCGCATCATTGGAGTACTGCTGTAGCCAGGAAAGCGAGTTCTTAGAGCTCGCTAAAACTTCAAAAAATAAAAATTTGATCCATCTTATTCAAAAGAAAATTGATTCTTATTGCGAATTAGAAGAAGATTGATTATATATTATATATTGTTAGATAAATTATTTGCTATCTTTTATCATATATTATTTAATGAAGTTTTTTTTTTTCTTCTTCTTTATTTCTCTTTCTTTTCATTCTTTTTGTGAAAAAAATACAAAAAAATGGCCAATCGGGAATCGAACCCGAATCCTAGGGTCCGCTCCCCTAGATGCTTTCCATTACACCATCAGCCAATTGTTGAGTACTTTCTTTCAAATTGATTCTTAAATAAAAAAAAAATAAAATTGTTTTTATTAAAAAAACAAATTAATTAATTAATTCATTATTCAAAAAAAGTAATATACAATTCATTAATAATATGATTGGCTTATTTTTTAACTACTTATATATATATATATATATATATATATATATTACGCTTGATTATTCAAAAAAGATGCATTATGATTCATGCATACAAATTAGAATTATGAGATTAAATTACACTTCCATGACTATAATAATTCGAGTTCAATATAAAAAAGATATTGGATGTAAATTTTATATTTTTATATTCATTGTGCCCAGTAAATTGGAGTAATCGATTTACAAATTATTAGACCAAATAAAATCTCAATTTTTCAAATTGTATGAAATGAAAAATATTCCTCGAATTGGACTTGGAACATGGAAAGCGCCTCCTAATGAAGTCACAGAATCAGTACGATTTGCTATTGAGGAGGCAGGCTACAAACATATTGATTGCGCGTTCTTTTATCGAAATGAAAAAGAAATAGGTGATGCTTTAAATGATTTACTTTCGCGTAATGTTGTAAAACGAGACGAACTATGGATCACATCAAAATTATGGTGTACAGATCATTTACCTGAACGAGTAGAAAGCGCTTGTCGCAAAACACTTGCAGATTTAAAAATTAAATATTTAGATTTATATTTAATGCATTGGCCAATGAGTTTTCCTCATGATGGTGAATTATTGCCATTTGAAGAAAACTCACAAAACAAAGTCAAATTAGTAGATATCCCAATTATCGAAACCTGGAAAGCGATGGAGAATCTTGTTGAGAAAAAATTAGTTAGACACATCGGTGTATCGAATTTTACAGTTGAATTATTAGAAAAATTACTTTTTTCAGATATTAAAATCATCCCATATGCCAATCAAGTAGAACAACACTTGTTTTTACAAGAAGAAGCTCTTCTAGAATTCTGTGAAAAGCGAAATATAGTATTAGAAGGATACAGAACTTTGGGAGGCCCAGCAAGCTCAAGAAAGCCAGGAAAACCAGTTTTACTTGAAAATCCAGTTTTGAATGAAATCGCAAAAGAAACAGGAAAGACTCCCGCGCAAGTTGAATTAAAGTTTCTTCTTTCACTGAGCCAAAATTCTGTTGTTTTAGCAAAAAGTTCAAACAAAGAAAGAATTTGCCAAAATATTAACCTTAAATTTGACCTTTCTGAAAAACAAATACAAAGGCTCAAATCACAAGATAGATGCTTGAGGCTAACTACATCATATGAAAGTTGGGGAGTTGATGTTTTCACTGATCATTGGTAAAGGCTACCGTTTATTTTATAATTTGGAATATTTACATGCTGTTGGACACTTGTTAGTCTTGAAAATTAATTATTCGTTTTATGTAAAAATAAAATATCATAATGATTTAAGCAAAGTCAGTTTTATTTTTAAATTATTAATTTTATATTGTCAATTTAATAAAAAAAAATATATATCAAATATAATATTAATTTTTAATTTACAAAACAAACATTTTAGTTACAAGAATGTAATGTACTTCTTACATATAATAATTGGAATGGGATACTTTAGATATAAAACGATAGAAATGCATAAATCGATTTATCAGATATATGAAAGTATTTTCTAAGTTTTGCTATTTTGCTAATTGAGACATTGAAAGTTTGTTTTGATAATGAAACATTAAATATATTTTTGTTTCTTTTTATATCAGATTCAATGATAATACTATTATAATAATAAATTAGAGGAATATAGATTGCTAATACTAAAAAATAGTAAATATAAAAAAAATATATTAACAATAATTAGACACTTTGAGCATTTTTTGTAATAAAGCAAAAAATAGATGTCACATATTGCAACATTTGAAATCGGAGCTTTACTATTGATTACGTTTTCACCGCTCTATTGACAATATCTTTCGAAACCATTACGTTTACAAATAAGGTCAAGATTATCATCTGAACCATCCTCTTGAATTTCTTCTTCATTTTTGTTTTATTAACTTTTGCCATTTTGCTTAATTCTAGAAGTTTTTATTTGTGTTTCATGTTTGAGCTAAATAACCATTTTTTTATCTTCACAGAAAAAAATGTTTAAATTGAAAGAAACCATTGAAAATGAGAATTGATATCAATTGAATCTTCTTTTTTGATAAGTTATTCAGTTTTTTGTGTCTTTATGACATCGGTGATCATTTTGTTTAACACAAACATTTTTTTTTAATTAAAGATTTTAAATTTTAAATAAATTTTATTGTAAATACTGGAATTTGCATGATTGTAAAATTTTCAAAGAGATAATTCCCAGAATACAACTCAAATATTTTTCTGGGTACGATATAATGACTCTATATTGGTTTAAAAAATGTTTTTGCAACTCAAAATCATTATTTTTTTTATTTTGATTAATAAAAAAAGAAAAACAAAAGGGGTCGACTCTCTCAAATTTTTTTTGATTGAAAAATAATAATATCTTAAAATTTAAATATTCTTTCTATTTAATAAATTCTTAAATCAATATCTGATAAAATCTATATTAATTTAATATATCTTATAAAACAAAATATTTGCTATTTATTCTATTAATCATTAAAATAAGTGTTTTTATTATGATATTTGAGGCATTTTCTTAAATGATTTATTATTTACATTATTTATATATAACTTGAAATATAATAATAATTTATAACAAATTATATTATTGATATTCAAGAAATTATTGTTTTTTATAAATAAAAATTTTGAATTAATAATTGAATAAAATGCTAGTTTTTGAAAAAATTATTTTGATAATATCTGAATTTTGAAAATATATTATATTTATTAACAAATACTTATTATTTGGATAATATATTATTTATATCATCATATTAATGATAATATATTTATTATATATAATATATATTATATATATATTATTATAAAATATTAATTTACATTTTTACTCAGTTTATATGTATATCACAATTGAGAATTAATTATAATAACGTATTAATTCAATTTTATTTTTCATAAATAAATTTATCTTACATGATATTTAATTAATTACTTTTTAATTAATTTAAAAGATGTAAAATAAATTATAAAAAAAGAATATATGACATAAATGTTACAAAATATTTATATATTTGGATATTTACAAATTCCCAAAATCTCTTTGAATGGTGGAAATTAGATAAGAACTCAAAAATATTTTCCCCTTTCAAAAGTTAAACTTTTTCTGTTTTTATTTTTTTTAGTGAAATATCTCTATTTTGGCTAATAGAATCGGCTTCATATTTAAAATTGCATCATGTTATTGATAATGCCAATATTATTTATTAATAATTTTTTATAATTTTAGAATTTGATAACCGCCAAAGGTCGAACCCTTTTAGAAGGCCCAGGAATCGGGTATTAGAAAAAGCAAACTTTTTTGTTGGTGATATGATGGAACTTTTTGAATACTAATGACCGTTAAGATCATCGATTTTTTTGAGAGCATTATGATCATCCTTCACGAAGTTTTTGAGGTCAATTAAAAAAACGTTTTAAAGGTCAAATTGTTATCGTTTTTCTTTATTAAAAAGGCGGTTTTTTTTTCATTATTTTTTTTTTACATGGTGGTCATTTGTATAGGGCTTTTCCCACCGCAGTTGGTTTGATTCCAGCCTTCTACATCTTTAGTGGAAGCTAGACAGGGCGGTGGCTGCAAAAAATTCCATCTTATTCCACCATTATTGCAATCGATGTTCCAATGGTCTTTTGAATGGACTTTTCCCACCGCAGTTGGTTTGATTCCAGCCTTCTACATCTTTAGTGGAAGCTAGACAGGGCGGTGGCTGCAAAAAATTCCATCTTATTCCACCATTATTGCAATCGATGTTCCAATGGTCTTTTGAATGGACTTTTCCCACCGCAGTTGGTTTGATTCCAGCCTTCTACATCTTTAGTGGAAGCTAGACAGGGCGGTGGCTGCAAAAAATTCCATCTTATTCCACCATTATTGCAATCGATGTTCCAATGGTCTTTTGAATGGACTTTTCCCACCGCAGTTGGTTTGATTCCAGCCTTCTACATCTTTAGTGGAAGCTAGACAGGGCGGTGGCTGCAAAAAATTCCATCTTATTCCACCATTATTGCAATCGATGTTCCAATGGTCTTTTGAATGGACTTTTCCCACCGCAGTTGGTTTGATTCCAGCCTTCTACATCTTTAGTAGAAGAAGGATCTGACAAAAACTAAGAAATCTAATTCAAATCGTGTTGATGCAGATTCAGCAAAAATTAACATTTACAAATCAACAATTATTGCAAAAACATTGAAATTACTGATTTCATTTCCATGATTAAAACATTCTAAACATGCTTACTTTCTGCATTTTTTTCAATGTTTTTTCTTCTTTTTTTGAATGGTTTATTTTTTTTTTACTTCAAAAATATTCGTAAACTATTCAATTTAATAGATGAAAATTTTATAAAATTTTATTTAATTAATAAGTTTTTATTTAGAGGAATTCTTTATAGCACATGAAACTTTTTCAGAAGAAAATAATCGTCCATTTTTTCTAGATTTATTTTTCCTAGAAAAGATTAAAAGTTCCTTGTATTTTTTATTGATTTCTTAATTTATGCCATTTAGAGAATATGTTAAACGAGAAATAATCGAAAATTTTCAAAAAAGAGATTATTATTTGATTAATATTTATTCTTAAAAATGGTTGATTTAGATAATCAAATGGCTTTATGGGCTTCCTACATTGTTATAATTTAGGATTTAATGGTTAAAATCAGAATTAAATAAGAAAACAAATATTTTTAAATTATTTTTAAGGAATAAAAAAAGCATGAATAGGGGGTCATGCTATTTTGTTTAAAAATTATTAATTTTAATTTCTCAAAAAGTTTATTTAGACCAAACATGCATACAAAAAGTTCTCTGTGCTTCAGCACTGTGCTAAAAAATTACACCCTTTTATTTAATCATAAAA